CACCTCTAGAAATGAGTTATGAAAGCCTTAAAACCCACCAAATAGGCCCTGAAATCAGTCTCGGAAACATGCAAAGAAAGGCCCCTTTGAAAGGCCTTGAATGAGATTGCTCTATACATGCATCATAGACATAAAATATGGCAAAATGGGCTCTTGACAGAGCTTAGGCAGACCTTAAAACCCTCAGAATGAGGCTTGAAACATGACTTCAATGCATGCAAAATAGGGTCCCTCTGGAAGGCCAACCATGCTAGTAAAGAGAATGAGGGGTAAGAGGGTCACTCCTCTATGATTTTGGGGCTCAAAGACACATCAAGGCCACTGAAAATCCACTGGATTTCAGTGGCCAAGATGCCAAAACAAGACCAATGCAAATACTCAAATGCATTGCTCAAAGCATGAGGAAATGAAGCATGCAAGGAAGAAGATGACTCCAAATAGAAAAGTGACCTCAATCAAACTTAAAGAGGAGGTCGAAACAAGACTTTCTTCAGTTTAGGACGAGGTCCAAAAATTCTCACAAATAAGGCTAATATATCATGCAAAATAAGCCCTAAAAGAGAGATAAAGCATACAAGGGTGTAAGAGACCTCAAAAAGAAAAGTATCCTTAATAAAACATGAAGAGGAGCTCAAAATAAGACTATTTTTAGTTTACACCAAGGCTCAAAAATGCTTGCAAATGGAGCTAAAGTATAGAGCAAAATAGTGCAAAAAAGGGGTAAATGAAGACTTACCCTTGTAGAGCAGACCCTCAGCAACTTCTGGATCAAGAATGTGACTCCTCAAGCTCTTCAAATGACCTCGAAGATGCTGGAATGGATGGTGGGGGTGGTAGGCTATGAGGTGTAGTGTAAAAAGGCTAAGAATATTAGGGTTTGGAGCTTGGAGAAGAAGGCTATGGAGGATGGAGTGTGTATGCCTTAACCAAATGTCTAACCCTTGCAAAATGAGATGGAGGGTTGGTTATATAGAGGGAGAGAAGTAAGGCTTCTTGGAGAAGCCAAGAGAGAGGTTTAAAGCTTCTAAAAGAAGCTTGACCAAAGGGGTCAAGCTTCTTGAGGAAGCTTGACTCAAGAAGCTTGACCAAAAGGGTCAAACTCTTCCTACCAACCAAGCAAAGGGGTCAAAACCCCCTTTTAAGGACCAAAACAATGACAAAACCCTCGGATAGTGGGTCAAATGCTTCACAGCTGACATAGCTGTGTTGCACTTGAGAAGAGCAAAAAGCAGAAAGCTGGCCGACTAGCTAAGGTGGCCGGCTGGCCACTCCCCCTGGTCAGCCGACCAGGGGTCAAAAGGGTCAAGCAAAAAATCTGGTTGGCCTCCCCAGAAAGGTGGCCTCCCAGATGAGTAGAATACAGCTGTGTGGTGAAAAACCAGAAAATGTGACCTAGGAGAGAGAAAAACCAGCTGTTTAGAGGGGTTCAAAAGGGTCAAGAAGAATTACTGGTTGGCCTACCCATATTGGTGGCCTCCCAGATGAGCACAACACAATGATGGTGTGAAAAACCAAAAATTGTGGCTTAAAAGTGAGAAAAACCAGCTTTTTGTCAGAAAAATTGGCTTTTAGAGAGAGAAAAAGAGAAAATTGGCTTTTCAGGGGAAAAGGTGGCCTCCCACCATCCTACCACCTCCCTAGAAATGAAAATAGGGTCTCTACCAAAAATAGACCAAAACGGATGCCAAACGAAGGTTCGGGGGCCAAAATGCGCGATTCGGGGCCCCAAAAACAGGCTGTTAGGCACCGGAAGTGGCGTATGACCACGACGGTGGTCTCCCAGGCCACAGTATCCCTCAAAAGGGAGGAATCAAGGTGTGTGACAAAAACCAGAGCAAACGGAGGTAGTTAAGCGGTCCCGAACCGAGGCACACGGCCGACGGCTCCGAAAATTGAAAACTGGGCTCCAAATGGGAAAAATGGCCTACGACCACGAAACGTAGCCTACGGCCACTGAGATATGGTCTAGAGACCTCTCCCTCCCTTCGGGAAGAGAAAACAGAGAAAACAAGACCTGGTTCGTAAACCGAGGCAAAGCACAAAAGAGCTCCGAAGTCTGGAGGCAAGGCTCGCAGCCGAGACTCCGCAACCTCAGAACGAGCACTATATGCAACGTCACCGAGTGCTCAACTGGTGACGTCTGAGTCTTAAGGTCGGTCAAAAATGGGGTGTCTACAGTCCTCATCTTCCAATTTGTAATCATATCTGGAATAGAGCTGTCCCTCCTAAGGTTTCATTTTTCTGTTGGTTGGCTTGGAAGAACAAAATTAAGTCAGCAGAATTCATGCTCAGAATTGGTATTTTAGACCCTTCTATTTCCATCAGTTGCACCTTCTGTGGCTTTGAATCTGAATCTGCTACACATGTCTTGCTTCACTGCCCCTTTTCATGGCAGATCTGGTCTTCAATTATTCATGAATGGGGGCTTTCTTGGTACATTCAAGATTCAGTTGTTGGCCTTCTCCAATAGTGTATGAGAGTAAACTTCAATCACTTTGATAGATTAATTTGGAGAGCTATCCCGCTCATTGTTCTTTGGTCGCTGTGGAAGTGTAGGAACGAATGTATTTTTGAAGAGGCTCAACTAAATATTTCAGATTTGAGTGAATCTATCAAAATCAGAGCTGCACTATGGCTGAAAGCAACCATTAAGGACCTTCCCTTCTCAGTTGATGATTTAACCTTCAACTGGAGGCAAATCAAAGCTGGAAATTCAAACCATTAGATGGGCTGGTTTATTTGTTTTGTTATATTGCTCTTCTGGTGGTTGATTATCTGCTGAGGTTGGGCCATGTTTTGCTAGAGCTTCTTTTCTGCTGGGTTGGAGTTGATCTGCCGGGGTTGTTGATTTGCCGGGGTTGATCTGGCTTATCAGTTGGGGTTATATTTTGGTTTTAGCCTCAACCTGCTAGTCAGTTTTTCTGCCCCGTTCCTCTGTTCAGCATTATCAGTTGGCCAACTTTATTGTTCATCTCAGTGAAGGGGCTTTGTTCATCTCAGTGCAATTTTGTGGTGCTAAAGTGAAGGTCAATTGTAGTTCTTTCTGGTTGAGTTCATAGTCTGCTTCATAGTCTGAGTTCTTCATCTCAGTATTTGGCTGCTAAATAGCCTGAGTTCTGTGGTGCTAAGTTCTGGTGCTGTTATGTTGCTGGGGTCCATTTTGCTGTGTTGCTGCAGTGAAGTGAAGGTCTGTTGATGCTGGGACTGATATGTGGTTTCTATACAGGTTGGTGCTAGGTAGGCCTATTTGGTCTGTTTATTTCAGCCAGCAGCTGAGTGGTAGTCTGAATGGAGGTCAGTTTGTTAAGCTGGATTTGAGCCAAGAGGGTGTATGCTAAACTATAAACACTCTGAAGGATCATACTGTTTTCTGGCAGCTACACTGATTTTATGGCTTTTGTTGTTCTGCTGAGTTTCTAAGTTGCACTGAGTTTCTAAGCTGAGGGCAATGCTCTTGGACTGCACTGATTTGAATTGGGTTCTGTCTGCTGCCCTCTGTTTTTTGCTGATTTTTGTTGTTGTGATTCAACCGCTGGGTGTTTTTGCTTATGCTTCTTGTTTTTTTCCCCTTTTCCCCTCTTTTTCTCTTTGTTGGTTTCTCACCAACTGGCGCTTGGGGCTTTTTAGACCCAAGTTCCTCTTTATTGATGTAATCTTCATACCTTGTATGTTTCATCAATAAAGATTTTCTTTGCCGATCAAAAAAAAAAGTAAACACAATTATCTAAGAAAAATGGGATTTTTAACCTACAAGCCTTGTGGGAGCTCTAATATCCTAATCCTAATTTTCTAATTTTTTGATTTAAAAAAAAAAAACTCAACATTTGTAATTTCTCCCAATCCCCATGTCTTTTGGGAGATTTGGTCAAAACCCCCTCATAATTAAACTTTAATGCATTAAAGACCAGCATAAACAGGTCAAAACCCCCTCATAATTAAACTTTAATGCATTAAAGACCAGCATAAACAAAATTCCTTAAAAATTTTAACACATCTATCTATCTATATTATATTATCTATATCTATATCTATATCTACATCTATCTATTTATATCTATATCTATATCTATATTATATATTAAACAAAATGAGGTTTTTAACCCCAAGACCTGTGAGAGTTTCAATATCCCAATTTTGAATTTTCTAAATTTTTTATTAAAAAAAAAACTCAGTATTTATTAATTTGGTCAAAATCCCCTGATCATCATTTATTAACTTTTTTCAATCCACATGTATTTCCACATGCCTGCATTTATTGATTTGGTTAAAATCTCCTGATCAGCATTTAAAATCCCTTTATGCAAATAATTATGATACAATCTGTGTATAGTTACCGCAATATCATTTTCAACTTCTCTCATATACTATGATTAGCGATAAAACTGTTAAATTATTTGGTGCATAGCACAGTGATAGGTTAGTATTGTATAACAGAAATGATGGGAATGGGCAGTAAAGGGCAGAAGGCGGAAGAGCCCAACAAAGGTATTTTTTATGTTTTTATTTTTTGTAAATGAGGTATTCTTTATGTGTTTCTTTCAAAATCTCCCTCTCTTTTTTTGGCGACGTTCCCACTTCTCTTTTACCATCTCATCCTTTTGATTTCTTCTTTGGTTGTAAGTTGTATATATATACACACATCACAAATATATACTCAACACTTTCTTTCTCTACAGGAGCCTTTTTTCTTGCTGCTGAAGGGGAGAGAGAGAGAGAGCGTGGGGGGTCCTGCTCTGGCCATGCTTTTGTATATGTCTCTTCACTCTTGACTCTTCGTCAACTTCCTTTTTTTTTTTTATATATATATATATAAAATTTTTGACTTTCCTCGTACAACAACACTTTCTCTGCGCATAATTGTACGGTATTTCCTTTTTCACCCATCTTTAAGGATATATGCATAGACAGCTGTGGATTGGATTGGATTGGAACCTTAAAAAGTAAGCTAAATGTATATGTACATTACTATCTTTATCTCAAAATGGAATCATTTACCTTGCCTTCTTCAATCTTCTGTTGCTTCACTTCTAAGCGACACTTGTCTCTATATTCTCTCTCCACATACACATAATTGGATATTTCTGTGTGTGTGTGTGTGTTTTCAGGTTATCTTCTGAGCCGAGAAACTGAAGTGGGTATGTTGTTGGAATCCATAATTTTTGGCAAGTATAATATTGTATAACAGAGATGATGGGAATGGGCAGTAAAGGGCAGAATTCAGAAGAGCCCAACGAAGGTCAAGGCTTGATAGATTTGGTTTTTTCTTGGTCTCTTGCTGATGTACTCAACAAAGATCTTTACAAGGGCAAGGTTTGGAATTACATATTCTCCCTCTTCCTAATTGCCTTCTTATGATAGTGTAGATATGTATCATAAACACTAGTCTATATATATATTGTGTTTTCAATCACAGTAACTGGTAGTCAGGCCCGTCGATAATCAACTGATGAATTTTTAGCCCTTTACATTTTTTTTTGATTGAATAAAAAAAAATTTGAAGGTAAAAGACAAAAGATTTATGTCAAAATCACAAAAAATACTTAGCATTACATTACAATAATTAATAAGTATCGCTGATTCTTGCTCTTTTTACATTTTTTAAAAGCAAATAAATCAATTATACTTGCATAATTTAGTTTTTTTGAAAAATCATTTTCAATGGATAACAATGCTAAGTATTCTAAATGGGCCTTTTAATTTTTTTGAGTCAATTTATTTTAAATTAGTTTGGGCTTTCTTTAATTTGTTTTGGATTTAAAACATACCTAATATATTACACTAAATTGTAATAAGAGGCGGCCTTTTTTGGGTCTATTGTCAATGGATAACAATGCTAATCTTTTTGAATGAGCCTTTTTTTTGAATGGGTCAATTTATTTTAAGTTAGTTTGGACCTTTTTTAATTTTTTTTGACTTAAAACATACCTAATATATTACACTAAATTATAATATGAGGGACCCCTTTTTTGAATATAATTTGAGGGGCCCTAGGCCATGGCCTGGTGGGCTTATGCCCAGGGCCGGCCCTGCTGGTAATAGCATAGCCGGGATTTTGATTTAAGGGTTCACTATTAGATTGAATCCGTAGAGATATCAATCACAACTTAACTTAATTCAAATTTTATTTGACGATAGAATGACCAAAGATGACGTCAAAATTATATGTTAAGAGTTATGTTTTAATTAATTGATAATTTTTTTTTTATTGTTGATTTGCTATTTTAATTCCTCAATATGATGATAATCACAATTTAAAATGTAATCACATACCTACAGAAGGGAGGAAGAGAGACATGAATGAGAGAAAAATAATTATAAGAGAATATTTTGACAAAATTAAAACTAAATATTTATAGTGGCGCCAAATTGTAAGGAATTTATTCAAAAAGAAAGATGGGATATAAAGATTTAGAAACATATTTGAAATTAAAAGGGAGTTATATAAAAAACCTTTCATAATTGGAGGTGAAAGTGTGATTTTCAAAACATGAGAGGGGCATGTGTCTCCTTAGTCCCCATGTGGCTCTGTCACCGGTAACGGGATATGTATTGGTTTGGTATTGATGATATATTTGTTGATATTGGACACCATCGACCGATATAAAAGTGAATATATGTATTAGAAGTCTACAATTTCAATATGTATCGGCCAACAAAATGCCAATATTTAACACCTTTATTCATTTTTTATGTAATCTCTTCAAGGTTTAAATACCATTTTGAGCCAAGTAGCGGCACTCACAAATATAATTGGCTAAATAGAATGACAGAAACTGTTATAATATTATTTTGCTTGTTTTTTCTGATTTCTTCTTAATTAGAACGAATAGCTAAAGTGCATGCAATTGCCACAATTGATCATTATTGGCCAAAGAAATTTATATGTTTAATTTAGTCCTTCAAGCTCATCTATCAACAACAAATGTTAATTACTGAAATAATTCTATTGATTCCAACTCTCTTTCTATTGCGGTCATAGATTTTGGAAGCAGAGGATCCCGTGCCATGACAACTCTTTTTGGGTCCCTTGCCACCATTTGCCCATTGCTAAAACTTCTAAGCGATGATTTTGTTAATAAGTACTTTTAACTAGTACTCTTCACAATTGTGAACTTTTTTGACAGGTTAATCTAATTCCAATGACATTTTCATCGACAAAAGATTACATGAAGTCATTTATCTACCCGCTTATTGAGGAAACACATGCTGATTTACTCTCAAGCATAGAGATGGTGGCCGGTGCACCTATTCGTGAAATATTGACAGTTGAAACAACCAAAGGCTTTCCTAAAATCTTGCGCTACAATATCATATTAGAAAGAATGGAGGACACTGCAAATAATTATGAAGGAATGTATGAGCCTGCGGTCGGAGATCTCATTGCCTTGACAGAGCTCAAACCCAAGTGTATAGATGATCTTCATAGGCCTAAATCACCTTATCTTGTTGCTTTAGTTACAGAGACGAATGATGATTCTGATTGTTTTTGGATACAACAAGAAGAAAACAAACAAGAAGAAAACAAAGATGATTCTGATAAACTTGAAATTAAAGTTCTGTCGTCAAATCTCATCGTGTTTGATGCAGATGAACTAAAGGATCAGAACAAAAAGAGAAAACTTTTTGCTGTTTATCTTACAAACCTGATTACTAATCTTCGTATATGGACGGCATTGAACTCAGAGGGGAACATGAAAATCATTAAAAGAGTGCTCCAAACTGATTCTACTGTAAGAATCACAATTTGTTTTCTTACTCAAGTTATTACTTACACAAAACTTTTTTAGGACACTATCCACAGACTTCGGTTTGCTAGGCTTGTGCATGTAAACAACAAATGTGATTATATGTTTATAAGCTTTTGAAAAGTAAGTATAGGAAGCATAATCTTTTCCCAGGGAAAAAAAGAAAAGAAAAGAAAGTGCACAAAATGCAATGCTGGCGTCACTGTATTCATCCTAGATAGAGCCCACACTTTACCAGGATGTATGTAGTGCTACCATTCTATGTTCTTTATGAAGATTTTTTTTGTGTTTGTAGCATTATTGCCTTTCGTATACATATAGCACTCCTTTCTCATTATTTGATTCATATTTATATTGCATTCTTTTCTTACTGGATTCAGTCTTGAGTAGATAAATACATTTGCTTGAATCATTTTCACTTGTTCTAACTTACTTTACAGATTGGGACCAATTGTATTCACTGCTTGTCCCAAGAGAATGACAGTGTTTCTCTATCCAGTGTGAGGAATGTCATAAGCTCATTTAATCTGGACGATTCCCAAAAGGCCGCTGTTCTAAGTTGTGTTGCTACAAGAGAATGTCATCATCAAAATACAGTCAAACTAATATGGGGTCCTCCTGGAACTGGGAAAACCAAGACAGTCGGTTCATTGTTGTTTTCTCTATTGAAGTTGAAATGCAGAACACTAACCTGTGCCCCAACCAACATTGCAGTGTTGGGAGTCACTGCACGGCTCATGAGTTTGGTTTGGGATGCACTCAAGTATGATACTTATGGGTTGGGAGATATAGTATTGTTTGGTAATTGGAAGCGAATGAAGATCGATGAACATGAAGACCTTCTTGATGTATTTCTTGATTACCGTGTTTTTATGCTTCGCAAAGCTTTTGCTCCAGCGACTGGGTGGAACAAAAATTTGGAAGCAATGATCTGTTTACTTGAAGGCCCCGAAGAGCAGTACCGTCTGTATTTGGAAAATTGGGAAAAAGAAAATAAGAAAAATGGTAAGGAGCCAGAGGAGACAAATTTTGGAGATAGGACCGCGAAAAGCAATCAAGACGAAGAGGATGATATTCATGATCAAGAAGATTTGAAACCAATTGATGAAAGGGCATTTTGGAGGAAGACAGTTATTCAAATCTTGAAGGAAAATAGGAACAAGAAAAAACAGAAGAAAAAGGAGCCTTTTAAAAGAAAAAGCCAATTGAAGAGTGATAAAACAAAGGAGGAAAACAGAGGAGAAAGGGTGGATAAGTGTGAAAAACTTAAGACATTTGAGGAGTTCTTCATGGATAAATTTAAATCCATTGGAAATGGTCTCATCTTTTTGATTCCAATCTTGTACACCCACATGCCAACTTCTATCATTTCATTGGAAGTAGTAAAAGAGATGATTAAAGCTCTTAATCTGCTAAAATCATTTCGAACTTTGCTGCATACTGACGTTGCTGCAAATAATTTTTTGAGAGAACTTATTAATGGAACTGTAGATGTCGGAAACAGGATTAATGGATTCATGAAGTTGAGTTCTGTCAAGGCAGAGTGCCTTCAATTACTCAAATTCCTTCGCGAAACCTTTTCTGTTCTAAATACTACTGCCAAATATGTAACTCGAAGGTTTTGCTTGCAAAATGCGTGTTTGATATTCTGCACTGCTTCAAGCTCTACTAAGTTGTGTACAGAAGAAGAAGAAGAAGAAGAAGAAGAAGAAGAAAAAAAAAACCCACTGGAACTATTGGTGATTGATGAAGCTGCTCAGCTAAAAGAATGTGAATCCACTATTCCATTACAGCTCTCTGGTATCCGTCATGCTATACTCATTGGCGATGAACAACAACTTCCTGCAATGGTTCAAAGCAAGGTTTCTGATTTAATTTAATTTAATTTAATTTTGTCTTTGTGTTTATCAATCTTTTATAAAAATTGTTATCTTGTATTGACATCTTGAAAATCTATGCTTAATAGATCTGCCAGAATGTTGAATTTGGAAGAAGCTTATTCGAGAGACTGGTGTTATTAGGGCATAAAAAACATCTTCTTAGTATCCAATACAGAATGCATCCATCAATAAGCATGTTTCCGAATAGGGAATTCTATGACAATATGATTTCTGATGGTCCAAATGTCAAAGAGGGAACCTACGAGAGGCTTTTTCTTCAAGGAAGTATGTATGGCTCTTATTCCTTCATAAATGTAAGCTATGGCCAAGAGGGCTTTGATAACAGACATAGCACGAAAAACATGGTGGAGGTAGCTGTGGCCACCGATATTGTTGCAAGACTCTTTAAAGGTACTTCTATTCTATTATAGTCAATGAAAAGTTTTAGAATTCTTTGAAAACAAAAACAGAAAGCAGAACACAGAACACAGAAAATAAAACATTACCAAATGGGCTATAACTTTTTAGTGTTTTCTGCCCGAATCATGATCCATAAGTGAGGATTCTGATATCTGGCTGCATTATTCCCACTACAGAATCTGAGGCCTCAAAACAATTTTTTTGGTCAGTTTTCAAGTTTTTGGAAAACAAAAATAGAAACAGAAGCATTACCAAACAGGCTGTAATTTTATATTGTTTTCTGCCTTAATCATGATCTACAGAATCTAAGGCGTCAAAACAAAAGGTTAGGATTGGTTGCATATCACCATACAAGGCTCAAGTATTTGCACTTGAACAAAAATTTGGAAAAACGTACAACACAGATGCAAACAGTGACTTTTCTGTAAGTGTTCGATCTGTTGATGGGTTTCAAGGTGGTGAGGAAGATGTCATAATTATCTCTACTGTGCGATGCAATGGGCGTGGATCAGTGGGCTTTCTTTCCAATCGTCAAAGAGCCAATGTGGCTCTCACTCGAGCAAGGTATTGTTTTTTCCATAGCCGAACGTTGTGATAATTAAGCTCCACTTTATTGTGTGGTAAATTTTTTTTTTTTTGGGGGGGTGGTATAGGCATTGCCTTTGGATTTTGGGGAATGGTGCTACTTTGATTAATAGCGGCAGTGTGTGGAAAAAATTAGTTGTAGATGCCAAGGCTCGGGGTTGTTTTTATGATGCGAATGATGACAAGAACTTAGCTCAAGCTGTTGGAGGCGCCTTAGTGGAGCTTAACCAACTTGATACATTACTCATGCCCGGTTCTTTTCTGTTTAGTAATACAAGGTGGAAGGTATATATATATGCTCTCTTTAATTGTCAACAATTATACTATTAAAACCCTTTCATATCAAGCATTTCCATGCATCGTATATTAAAAATTGCAACATGGTTGCAGAAATCAATGCTTTTTTCCTTAGAAGAGTTGTGTCAGAAGCTCCCTTGAACGAATTATGAAAATTCTCCTGTTTGTAGTTGTGTTTTTATTTTCCCAAAAAACACACAAAAACTTAGGAGATGAACTGTTTCTAACATTGTTATCAGGAAACAACACAGTTTTTAGGAAACATCAAAACGCTATTTTAGAATTATTGAGAACTGTTTTTGCATAAAACTGTAAATGATGATGGTTTCCTTAAACAGAGTGGTTTTCTCAAGAATAATTCTAGAAACAATTTGCCAAACAAGTTTTTTTTTTTTTTTTTGAAAAATAAAAACACAACCACAAAGTAGTTTTTTGAATTTTCAAGAAATGTTTCTGCTGAAAAATAAAAACGCAGAGTGTTTTCCAACTTTTCATAGTTTGTGTTTCTAAAAGCACCAAAAGGAAAACACATCCAAATAAGTTTTCTTTTGCAATTTAGTTCATAATAGCAAACAATTTGCATATTTGTGAACTTGTTGACCTCAACTCTTATCACTTTGGTCATCTTAACTCTGCTCTTTCTGTGCTGATGGCAAGAAAAAGTTACTAATCAGATCAAGTTTGGAAGATTTAGCAAGTAACTATTTGAATTTTTACAATTAGATATTCAATGCTAGGTGTTACCATTCCATGTTTGTAGATGAGCTAAACTGTGTTTCCCAAACAAAAGGAATATGTACTTCATTCACAATAGAAATTAAATGTCTTTGGTTGATCACATGAATTTTTTGTTCTTAAATTACAAGAAGTCTCACTATGTGATCGTCGCCCTTATTATTTGTTACAGGTTTGCTTTGGCGAAGATTTTAGGAAATCCATGACTGGAATCAAGAACATAGAGATTCGTAAGAAAGTGCTTTCTCTCTTACAAAATCTTTCGAGTGGCTTGCATCAGAATAAGAACAAAGTTCTAAACTTGAATGGGACTTCTTCTCAACTGTTGGAGGTGCACCAGGTCAATGAATTTCTGAATCTCATATGGAGCATAGACATTGTTAGGGAAAATTCAAAAGACATCCAGGTTATAAAGGTTTGGGACATTTTGCCATCGGCCAAGATACCTAAACTAGCAGAGCATTTCGATGACTTATTTGGGAATTATACAGTTGACAAGATGAACCACTGCAAATGCAGAAGACTTGAAGGGTACGCAAGCTGCACCTTTTTTTTGCCATAATTTTCTTCCTAATTTATTTATTTATTGTCATGATCTAGAAGTTAAACTAAATGTTTTTTGATCAAATGATCTGTTCGATATAGTAATGATACAAAAATAAATGAAAAATCTAGAAATCTGCTAGATGTTGATTTGTGATTATGTATCAATTTTAAGCAATATATAACAATCCCAATCAAACAATCAAGACAAATCGACATAACGATTTTACGTGGAAAAATCACGGGCAACAGCCACAAAACAATCCACTAAGAAGATATAAAGGAATTATACAGGTATACTCTCAATTAACTAGCGAATCCACGCCCGAATTAAACCAACCTCTATGTGCCTCTTCTAACCTCGTCTTCACCTCGGACTTGTCTTGACAATGAGCCACTCCGGAATCCACCAAAGCTTCAGGCTCGAATTTTTCAGAATCCACCGAAGAACAACTCTCTCTGGTGTGTAGAATCAACAAACAAACCTTTGATGAATGCTTCTTAAGCCATGAGTTGAACACTTAATGAAAACATCAAAGAAAACTAGCAAAAAATCCCTAGATATAAACCTTAGAATCCAAAAAGAAGATCTGGAGAAGTTCTACAAGTTTTGGAAAAAACCAACTACTTATAGAAAACCAAAGTAATCCTAGTTTTGGAAGAAAACAAATTCCTTATAGAAATCCACGAATCTGTGTTCGCGCGGTCCGCTCGAGCGTGGGAATTCCCGCTCGAGCGGAGGCTTCAAAATTGTGTGATTCATATAGACTTCACGCTCGAGCGGAAGTTTACACGCTCAAGCGTTGAATCACACCATCTAGTACTTTTTCAGGCGAAGCAGAGATGCTGTGAACTTGCAATCTCCGCTCGAGCGTCACTTTCCCCGCTCGAGCGGGACGACCAAAATTGAAAAATCTGGAAAACTAGATCCTGTTACAACCTCAGTTTTGATCCATGGAAATTGACAAAGGCACGATTCGGGTTGGATGCGCATCTAATAAACTCAGAGCCTCACTGAAATAAAAGGTGCGAAAACAAATACAACTGAAAGGAATTTTGTCAAACGGGGTTGTAAAGAACAAAGCCTAACAATCTCCCCCTTTGGCAATGCCGTGACAAAACACACCTAACAAATAAAATCCTAAACACCCCAACCCATTACAGCCAACAAAAGCCAACTTCTTTCTCAAGGTCATGATCTCAAAACAGTTATTAGTGCCACAATCTCCAAAACAACTATTAGTCCCACAACAGTATATGAAAAAGCAATAGACATATGACACGATTATCTTGAAACATGAGATGGAAAACATGAATAGATGAAAACTAAGACTCATGAAAAACAACTCTCAAACAACAAAAGCACGATCATAAACCACACAAGCAATGATATGGCGATGTAAATACCAGGAGCATGCAAGAAGGAAATAAATAGCAAACAATGCATAGCAACATTCAAAACAACTAGCAAATCTCCCTTACCAAGCAAATCAAAGATGAACCAAACTCCCTCTCACTAAAATCAACCACAAACACTGAAAACAGTGAACAAAAAGCAAACGACAACAATAATATGGTGGAGCAAGCAAGGAATTTCATATTAGTACCTTAAAACACACAAGACTATCCAAGAAGCACAATTACTAGTAAACACAATGTGCACAGTTTGTAGAAGATTCCTCATTAAAGAAAGTGATGCATTATGTGAAAAGCATAGATCCCATGAGAAAAGTGCGTGTGTGACTCTTGGAAAACAAAAACAATGGAAAGTTCAGAAACATCCAACATTTTGATAGAGTTTATATTTTTTGCAAAAATAAGTTTTGAAAATTAAAAAAGAGTTGTTTGGTAACCATTTTGTTTTCAGTTTATATTTACAAAAATTTAAAAAACTATCATAAAAACTTGTTTGATAATTTTTTTTGGTTTATAAATGGTTGTCTCAGTTTGTAAATTTGAGAAAAAAAATGTAAACTCAAAAAATTAGTTTACATTGGATTTTAAATAGAAATTTAAAAATTTGACTAACAAATTTTTTTTTCAATTAATTTTTAAAATTTTTTTTTTGTAATTAATTTTTTTTAAAAAAATTAAAATGTGTATGATCCCGTTGCCATAAATAATAAAAAATAAAGATAAATTTTTTTGGCTAGAGCAAACATATTTTTTAGTTTATGTTTTTAAATTTTTTAAAATATTTTGTTCAAAGTAGATGCGTTTGTAATTTATGTTTTTCTAAAAATAAACAAAATCAGTTTATAAAATTTTTATAAACATAAACCAAAAACATAAACATTAGCAAACGCTACCATGATGTTTTATTTTCCAAAAAAGACTCTTTTTTCCCTTCCCGAAAACAATTTTCAGTAGCAGTTTTTCAAACAAGTTTATTGCTTCTATTATCTGTGTCTCTATTTCTCCTCTATTGAGAAGCTCTAGAAAGTTTCTCATAAAAAGGTTTTTGTTTTTGTTTTTTGTTTTGTTTTGTTTTTTTTAATTCTATGTAATCTTTCAATTGCTACAGGAATTTAGCGGTTCCAGTGACCTTGCCAGCCAACTCAAGTTCTGGTACGAAGGCTAATCTGGCTAATACTAATCATGTTCAGCATTTACAAAGTCGAGTAGCTTCACTAAGTCTGAAGAATACACCTGCGGGATCATTGTATAAAAGGTGAGTACTTGGAAAATTCAGACTTATTATAATCAGTCCTATTTACCTGCAACACCAGGTTAGAGCTGTTAAAAAAACTTGTGGAAATGGCTGGCTTATTTTTATTTTTGTTTTCATTTCCTTGTTTAATGTTTTATCAATGGACGCCGGGGATGTGGAGTCCAGAATGCACTACAACAAATCTAGGCTATTGTGACGAAATTTGCTAAAAAAATTTATTTTCGTCTTAAAATGTAATCCAAACATGAAGAAATATTACTTTTGTCGTTTGTTTTAATTTTTCTCAAAACTATAGGAGACGAAAAAATAAATTCTTCAAAAAAAATGAGGCACCAATTTTTTTCTCATTAGCGCTAATTATTTTAGCTCATTGGAGACAGATATTTTTGTCATAAGTTTAAATTATTTTTGCGAGAAAAGGAATTTGTCACTAATAAATTCCAAACTTAATGACATTTCCATCAACCCTATTAGAATAAAGCCACCATAATGCTTGCCACCGCCACAACAACCTAGCCTTTATCACACACCCCCTCGCTCCCAATGCCTCACTGCCTGTGTCCTTTGACTACCCATCAGAATCGTCATATTATGAGCTTAGGGGATGACTCGGTGGTTTGGTCGTTGTACACACTCAAGCTCAAAGCAGGGTTTTAATCCCTGTGACGACCTTCCCCGTTCCCCTTCCCTGCAATTGGTATCTTTTTTCATTTTACATGTTCTTGAAAACAAAAACAATGGAAAGTTCGGACACATCCAGCATTTCGATATAGTTTATAGTTTCTGCAAAAATAAGTTTTGAAAATTAAAAATGTGTTGTTTGGTAACCATTTTGTTTTTAGTTTATATTTATAAAAAATTTAAAAACTGTCATAAAAACTTGTTTGATAATTTTTTTTTGTTTATAAATGGTTGTCTCGGTTTGTAAATTTGAGGAAAAGACGTAAACTCAAAAAATGAGTTTACATTGGATTTTAAACAGAAATTTAAAAATTTGACTAATAATTTTTTTTTCAATTAATTTTTTTTTCAAATAAATTTTATTTTTCAATTAACATTTTCAATTATTTTTTTTTCAATTATAATGTGTATGATCCCATTGTCATAAATAATATAAAATAAATATAAATATTTTAGGTCTGAACAAACATATTTTTTAGTTTATGTTTCTAAAATTTTTCAAATATTTTGTTCAAACTAAATGCGTTTGTAGTTTATGTTTTTCTAAAAATAACAAAAACCAGTTTATCAATTATTTGTAAACATAAACCAAAAACATAAACGTTAGCAAATGCGATGTTTTATTTTCCCAAAACGACTTTTTTTTTTCTTCTGGAAAACAATTTTCAGAAGCGGTTTTGCAAACAAGTTTATTGCTTCTATTATCTGTGTCTCTATTTCTCCACCCTTGTGTTGCCACTACCTCCATCTGGTCACATATAAGCATCTTGCCTCCTGATAAGCAATTTCTATGTATAAGTTGTCTGTGTCTCATGCTATGTATTCTTCGGGGCATGAGGATTAGGAGAAAAGGAGTTGTATTTGTTTTTGGTGGCAAAATTGAGAAACTCTAGAAAGTTTCGCATAAAAAGGATTTTTTTTTTCAAACTTCTATGTAATCTTTCAATTGCTACAGGAATTTAGCGGTTCCAACAACTTCGCCAGCCAACTCAAGTTCCGGTACGAAGGCTAATCTGGCTGATACTGATCATGTTCAGTTTTTACAAAGCACAGTAGCTTCTCTAAGTCTGAAAGATACACCTGCGGGATCATCGTATAGTAGGTGAGTACTTGGAAAATTCAGCATTATTATAAGCAGTCCTCTTTACTTGCAACACAAGGTTAGAACCGTTAAAAAAATTTGTGAAAATGGCCGACTTATTTTTATTTTTATTTTCATTTCCTTGTTTGATGTTTTATCGATGGACACCGGGGATGTGGAGTCCAAAATGCACTACAACAAATATAGGCTATTGTGACGAAATTTGGGAAAAAATTTATTTTCGTCTTAGAATGTAACCCAAACATCAAGAAATATTACTTTTGTTGTTTGTTTTAATTTTTCCCAAAACTATAGGAGGCGAAAAAATAAATTCGTCAGAAAAAATGAGGCACCAATTTTTTTCTCGTTAGCGCCAATTATTTTAGCTTATTGCAGACGGACATTTTTGTCATAAAATTTTAATTTTTTTGTGAGAAAAGGAATTCCTCACTAATAAATTCCAAAATTAATGACATTTCTATCTACACTATAAGAATCATGCCACCATAATGCTTGCCACTGCCACAATAACCTAGCCTCTATCACACACCCTCTCGCTCCCACTGCCTCACTCCCTGTGTCCTTTGACTACCCATCATAATCATAATTTTATGAGCCTAGTGGATGACCCGGTGGTTCAGTCGTTGTACACTCCCAAGCTCATAGCAGGGTTTTAATCCCTGCGACGACCTTCCCGTTCCGCATCCCTGCAATTGGTATCTTTTTTCATTTTTCATGTTCTTGAAAACAAAAACAATGGAAAGTTCAATATCATCCAGCATTTTGATATAGTTTCTATTTTCTGCAAAAATAAGTTTTGAAAATTTAAGAAGTGTTGTTTTGAAACCATTTTGTTTTCAATTTATATTTACAAAATTTTTAAAAGCTATTTTATAAACTTGTTTGATTATTTTTTTTGGTTTATAAATGGTTGTCTCAGTTTATAAATTTGAGAAAAAAACGTAAACTCAAAAAATTAGTTTACGTTGGATTTTACACAGAAATTTAAAAATTTGACTAACAAATTTTTTTTTTTCAATTAAAATGTGTGTGATCCCGTTGTCATAAATAATAAAAAATAAATATAAATATTTTAGGCTAGAAAAACATATTTTTTAGTTTGTGTTTTAAAATTTCTTTAAATATTTTGTTCAAACTAAACGCGTTTGTAATTTATGTTTTTCTAAAAATAAACAAAAATCAGTTTATAAAATTTTTGTAGACATAAACCAAAAACATAAACATTACCAAACGCTACCATGATGTTTTATTTTCGAAAAAAGACTTTTTTTTTCCTTTTCAAAAACAATTTTCAGAAGCGGTTTTTCAAACAAGTTTATTGCTTCTATTATTTGTGTCTCTATTTCTCGTCCATTGTGTTGCTTCTATTATCTGCGTCTCTATTTCTCCTCCATTAAGAAGCTCTAGAAAGTTTCTCATAAAAGGGTTTTTGTTTTGTTTTGTTTTTTTTTTTAATTCTATGTAATCTTTCAATTGCTACAGGAATTTAGCGGTTCCAGCGACTTCGCCAGCCAACTCAAGTTCTGGTACGAAGGCTAATTTGGCTAATACTGATCATGTTCAGTCTTTACAAAGTCGAGTGGCTTCACCAAGTCTGAAGGATACACCTGCGGGATCATTGTATAGTAGGTGAGTACTTGGAAAATTTAACCTTATTATAATCAGTCCTCTTTACTTGCAACACAAGCTTAGAACTGTTAAAAAAACTTGTGGAAATGGCTGGCTTATTTTTATTTTTATTTTCATTTTCTCGTTTAATGTTTTTATTAATGGACATCGGGGATGTGGAGTCCAAAATGCACTACAACAAATCTAGGTTATTGTGACGAAATTTGGTGAAATTTTTTATTTTCGTCTTAGAATGTGACCCAAAAATGAAAAAATATTACTTTTGTCGTTTGTTTTAATTTTTCTCAAAACTATAGGAGACGAAAAAATAAATTCGTCAAAAAAAATGGGGCACCAATTTTTTTCTCGTTAGCGCCAATTATTTTAGCTCATTGGAGACGGACATTTTTGTTATAAAATTTTAATTTTTTTGTGAGAAGGAATTCGTCACTAATAAATTACAAAATTAATGATATTTCCATCGACACTATCAGAATCATGCCACCATAATGCTTGCCACCGCCACAATAACCTAGCCTTTATCACACACACCCTCGCTTCCACTGCCTCACTACCTGTGTCCTTTGACTACCCATCAGAATCATAATTTTATGAGCCTAGTGGATGACTCGGTGGTTTGGTCGTTGTACACTGCCAAGCTCATAGCAGGGTTTTAATCCTTGCGACGACCTTTCCCGTTCCGCATCCCTGCAATTGGTATCTTTTTTCATTTTTCATGTTCTTGAAAACAAAAACAATGGAAAGTTAGGAAACATCCAGCATTTTGATATAGTTTATAGTTTCTGCAAAAATAAGTTTTGAAAATTAAGAAAGTGTTGTTTGTTAACCATTTTATTTTTAGTTTATATTTACAAAAATTTTAAAAGTTGTCATAAAAACTTATTTGATAATTTTTTTGGTTTATAAGTGGTTGTCTCGGTTTGTAAATTTAAGGAAAAGACGTAAACTCAAAAAATGAGTTTACACTGGATTTTAAATACAAATTTAAAAATTTGACTAATAATTTTTTTTCCAATTAACTTTTTTAATTAATTTTTTTTTCAATTATAATGTGTATGATCTCATTGTCATAAATAATATAAAATAAATATAAATATTTTAGGGCTAAACAAACATATTTTTTAGTTTATGTTTTTAAAATTTTTAAAATATTTTGTTCAAACCAAATGCGTTGCTAGTTTGTGTTTTTCTAAAAATAAACTAAAATCAATTTATAAATTTTTTGTAGACATAAACCAAAAACATAAACGTTAGCAAATGCTACATGTTTTATTTTCCAAAAAAGACTTTTTTTTTTCTTCTCAAAAACAATTTTGAGAAGCGGTTTTTCAAACAAGTTTATTGCTTCTGTTATCTGTGTCTCTATTTCTCCATCATTGTGTTGCCTTTACCTCCATCTGGTCACGTATAAGCATCTTGCCTCCTGATATGCAATTTCTGTGTCTAAGTTGTCTGTGTCTCATGCTATGTATTTTTTGGGCATGAGGATTAGGAGAAAAGGAATTGGATTTTTTTTCTTTTTGGTGGCAAAATTGAGAAGCTCTAGAAAGTTTCTCATAAAAAGGTTTTTGTTTTTGTTTTTGTTTTTGTTTTTTTTTTTGTTAATTCTGTGTAATATTTCAATTGCTACAGGAATTTAGTGGTTCCACTGACTTTGCCAGCGAACTCAAGTTTTGGTATGAAGGCTAATCTGGCTGATGCTGATAATGTTCAGTTTTTACAAAGCCCAGTAGCTTCACTAAGTCTGAAGGATACACCTGCGGGATCATCATATAGTAGGTGAGTACTTGGAAAATTTAGCCTTATTATAATCAGTCCTCTGTACTTGCAACACAAGGTCAGAACTGTTAAAAAAACTTGTGGAAATGGCTAGCCTATTTTTATTTTTATTTTTATTTTCATTTCCATGTTTAATGTTTTATTGATGGACACCGGGGATGTGGAGTCCAAAATGCACTACAACAAATCTTGGCTATTGTGATGAAATTTGGTGAAAAAATTTATTTTCGTCTTAGAATGTAACCCAAACATGAAGAAATATTACTTTTGTCGTTTGTTTTAATTTTTCTCAAAATTATAGGAGACGGAAAAATAAATTCGTCAGACAAAATGAGGCCCCGATTTTTTTCTCCTTAGCGCCAATTATTTTACCTCATTGTAGATGGACATTTTTATCATAAAATTCAATTTTTTTTTGAGAGAAAAGCAATTCATCACTAATAAATTCCAAACTTAATGACATTTCCATCAACCCTACCAGAATCATGCCACCTCCACATAACCTAGCCTTTATCACACACCCCCTCGCTTTCACGACCTCACTACTTGTGTCCTTTGACTACCCATTAGAATCACCATTTTATGAGCTTAGGGGATGACTTGGTGGTTTGGTCGTCGATCACAACCAAGCTCATAGCAGGGTTTTAATCGCTGCGACGACCTTTCCCGTTCCCCATCCTTGCAGTTTTTATCTTTTTTCATTTTTCATGTTCTTGAAAACAAAAATATTGGAAAGTTCAGAAACATCCAGCATTTTTATATAGTTTATAGTTTCTGCAAAAATATGTTTTGAAAATTAAAAAAGTGTTGTGTGGTAACCATTTTGTTTTCAGTATATATTTACAAAAATTTTAAAAACTGTCATAAAAACTTATTTGTTAATTTTTTTTGGTTTATAAATGGTTGTCTCGGTTTGTAAATTTGAGGAAAAGTTGGATTTTAAACAAAAATTTAAAAATTTGACTAATAAATTTTTTTTTTCAAATAATTTTTTTTTCAATTAACCTTTTTAATTAATTTTTTTTCTCAATTATAATGTTTATGATCCCATTGTCATAAATAATATAAAGTAAATGTAAATATTTTTGCCTTGAACAAACTTATTTTTTAGTTTATGTTTTTAAAATTTTTTAAATATTTTGTTCAAACCAAACGAGTTTGTAGTTTATGTTTCTCTATAAAAAAAAAAAGATCAGTTTAAAATTTTTTGGAAAACATAAACCGAAAACATAAACGTGAGCAAAAGCTAGATGTTTTATTTTCCAAAAAAGTCTTTTTTTTTCTTCTCAAAAATAATTTTCTTTTCAGACAAGTTTATTGCTTCTATTATTTGTGTCTCTATTTCTCCTCAATTTTGTTGCCACTATCTCCATCTAGTCACGTATAAGTATCTTGCCTCCTGATATGCAATTTCTGTGTCTAAGTTGACTGTATCTCATGCTATGTATTCTTTGGGGCATGTGGATTAGGGTAAAAGGAATTGGATTTTTTTTGGTGGCAAAATTTTGAAGCTCTAGAAAGTTTCTCATAAAAAGGTTTTTGTTTTTTTTTTTTTTTTTTTTTTTTTTTTAATTCTATGTAATCTTTCAATTGCTACAGGAATTTAGCGGTTCCAGCGACTTTGCCAGCCAACTCAAATTCTAGTACGAAGGCTAATCTGGCTAATACTGATCATGTTCAGTTTTTACAAAGCCAAGTAGCTTCACTAAGTCTGAAGGATACACCTGCGGGATCATCATATAATAGGTGAGTACTTGGAAAATTCAGCCTTATTATAATCAGTCCTCTTTACTTTCAACACAAGGTTAGAACCGTTAAAAAAAAACTTGTGGAAATGGCTGGCTTATTTTTATTTTTATTTTCATTTCCTTGTTTAATGTTTTATCAATGGAGACTAGGGATGTGGAGTCCAAAATGCACTACAACAAATCTAGGCTATTGATGAAATTTGGTGAAAAAATTTATTTCCGTCTTAGAATGTAACCCAAACATAAAGAAATATTACATTTGTCGTATGTTTTAATTTTTCTCAAAACTATAGGAGACGGAAAAATAAATTCATCAGAAAAAATGAGGCACCAATTTTTTTCTCGTTAGCGCCAATTATTTTAGCTCATTGGAGACGGACATTTTTGTCATAAAATTTAAATTTGTTTTGTGAGAAAAGGAATTCGTCACTAATAAATTCCAAATTTAATGACATTTCTATCAACCCTATCAGAATCATGCCACCAAAATGCTTGCCACCTCCACAATAACCTAGTCTTTAGCACACACCCCCTCGCTTCCACTGCCTCACTACCTGTGTCCTTCGACTACCCATCATAATCATTATGTTATGAGCTTAGGGGATGACTCTGTGGTTTGGTTGTTGTACACACCCAAGCTCATAGTAGGGTTTTAATCCCTGGGATGACCTTTCTCATTCCCCATCCCTGCAATTGGTATATTTTTTCATTTTTCTTGTTCTTGTAAACAAAAATAATGGAAAGTTCGGAAACATCCAGCATTTTGATATAGTTTATAGTTTCTGCAAAAATAATTTTTAAAAATTAAAAAAGTGTTGTTTGGTAACCATTTTGTTTTCAGTTTATATTTACAAAAATTTTAAAAACTGTCATAAAAACTTGTTTGATAATTCTTTTGGTTCATAAATGGTTGTCGCAGTTTGTAAATTTGAGGAAAAGACGTAAACTCAAAAAATGAGTTTACGTTGGATTTTAAACAGAAATTAAAAAATTTGACTAAGAAATTTTTTTTTAATTAATTTTTTTTTTCAAATAATTTTTTTTCGATTAACTTTTTTAATATTTTTTTTCCAATTATAATGTGTATGATCCCATTGTCATAAATAATATAAAATAAATATAAATATTTTAGGCCTGCCTGAACAAACATATTTTTTACTTTATGTTTTTAAAATTTTTCAAATATTTTGTTCAAACCAAACGCGTTTGTAGTTTATGTTTTTCTAAAAAAAAAAAAAAATCGGTCTATAAATTTTTTGTAAACATAAACGAAAAACATAAATGTTAGCATACGCTAGATGTTATATTTTCCGAAAAAGAGTTTTTTTTTCTTCTCAAAAACAATTTTCAAAAGCGGTTCTTCAAACAAGTTTACTGCTTCTATTATCTGTGTCTCTATTTCTCCTCCATTGTGTTACCACTACCTCCATCTGGTCACGTATAAGCATCTTGCTTCTTGATATGCAATTTCTGTGTCTAAGTTGTCTGTGTCTCATGCTATGTATTCTTCGGGGCATGAGGATTAGGAGAAAAGGAATTGGATTTTTTTTTTTTTTTGGTGGCAAAATTGGAAGCCCTAGAAAGTTTCTCATAAAAAGGTTTTTGTTTTTGTTTTTGTTTTTTTTATTAATTTTATGTAATATTTCAATTGCTACAGGAATTTAGCGGTCCCACTGACTTTGCCAGCCAACTCAAGTTTTGGTACGAAGGCTAATCTGGCTGATGCTGATTTTTTTTTTTTTTTTGATCGGCAAAAAAGACTTTATTGATGGAAAAAATTTACATCAGTAAAGAGGAGCTTGGAGCTATAACAAGCTCCAACCTCCTAGTTGGTGAGAAACCAACGCGCAAAGCAAAGGCAAAAACCAGAAAAATTAAATCAGACAGATCAGTCAGCCCTTCCAAGCACCAAACAGATACCTGCAAAATAGAACCTTTCATGCCAGTAATGGACCATTCCTCACAGCAGTAATGCACCAAGAATGAACCTTGCATGACAATAACTTCCATCAACCTCACTGAACCTTTCATGCCAGTTAAATTACATCCACTCCAGCTACTGGTGCAGGCCACTGAGCAAGGCAGGCCAACAAATCAACCATTGAGTGAGCGCAGAAATGAGACAAAACACCTAACCCATACTGCAGAAAACCAGTAGTAGATAGCAGCTGCCAAGACTATGTGACCTCAAACACAAGTAGAATGCCTCAACAACCCCATCACAGTAAGCACGGCCAGACCAGACCAGCAGTACACATCACAGGTCAGCTACCATTCCTGAGGCAGAATAAAACCTGTTGTAGATTTGAAACAATGTCGCTGACAGAGAATGCCAAAGAGGGTGATGAGGCCTTAACCCATAGTGCTATTCTCACCTTAATAAGATCACAAAGCACCTCTTGGTTAGGTTGAGCCCCATTAAAGACACATTCATTTCGGAGTTTCCAATTGGACCAGAGAACAGCAAATGGAATAGCCAACCAAATTTTCTTTTCCATTTTTTTCAGCCTGCAGCCAGACCACCAGTGCATAAGATCTGGCACAGAACCAGGTAACACCCACTTCCCCACCATCGTACAATGTTGGACCAAATTAGCCAAACAAAAGGGTAGAACAGGAGGATATGATTCACAGATTCAGCTTCATTGTTGCAGAAAGGACAAGCTTGGTTGACATTTGAACCCAAGACCCCAATTCTGCAGAGAAAGCTTGCAGTCTTAACCTTGCTATGCCAAGCTAACCAACCAAAAAATTGGGCTTTGGGAGGGGCGCAGTTATTCCATAGTATATTAGGGCAGCTCAGAACATGACCAAGAGAAGATTCCCACCAATTGTACGCTGAGGACACAGTGAAAGAGTTTGAAGGGCCAGCAGTCCAGGATAAGGTGTCAGGCTGGGAATTGCATGTATCAGGTGCAATTGTAAGAAAGCCATACAACCTAGACACCTCTTCTTCCTCCCAAGCCAGTAAGGCTCTTCTAAAACCAAGATTCCAATCTATAGGACTAACTCTTCTCTGATAATAGGCATCAACCACACCCATCTTATCAATGGATAAGGTAAATAGCCTGGGAAATGCCTCCTTGAGGCAGACATTTCCTGCCTATTTATCCCACCAGAATAGAGACCTCCTACCATCCCCCAACACAATGATGGAATTATTAATATAAAAGTTATGAAGCACTGCGTTTGGTAGGGCAGAAGATAAGATATCTGTCCAGATTTTGGAATCGTTGCCACCCGAACTAGAAGTCCAGCTGCCATCCCTCAAGTTATATTTGTTACATATTACAACTTTCCAAAGAGAAAGATTCTCAGTCCCAAAGCGCCACCACCATTTTAGAAGAAGACAAGCGTTCATAATATTGATTCTTCTCACCCCTAAGCCCCCAAAACTTTTGTTTCGCGTGACCACATCCCACTTGACCAAATGCACCTTCCTTCTTAAATCAGATCCACTCCAAAGGAAAGAGGATTGCAATTTCTCTATCTCCTTAGCCACTCCAATAGGTGCTCTAAACAGAGAGAGATAATACATTGGTAAGCTGGACATGACAGATTTGATTAAGGTCAACCTTCCAGCAAAGGAGAGCAGTCTCCTCTTCCATGAGGCTAGTTTCAACTTGAGCTTCTCAAGAACAAGTTTCCAGGTGCTTTTTTGGCCTGGATTTGCTCCCAGGGGCAGCCCTAAGTACTTAAGAGGTAGTTTTTGATACAGACAATTAAGTCTACTAGCAAAGTTATGTAACAATCCCTCATTAACCCCAACACCACTGATTACACTCTTATGATAATTAATTTTTAGACCCGAGAGCAGCTCAAAGCATCGTAAAATTCTTTTGATATTCACCACTTCCCTCCAGTTAGCTTCACAAAACAAGATAGTATCATCCGCAAATTGTAGATGGGATATAGAGAATCCAGATGTTCCCACTTGAGCTCCTTTTAAAAGTCCCAGCACTTTTTCTTTAGACAACAAAATATTGAGGGCCTCAGCTACTATGTTGAAAAGGAAAGGTGACAAGGGATCGCCCTGTCTTAGACCCCTTTGAGGATTGAATTCAGGGGTTGGTGAACCATTGACCAAGACTGAAATCTTAGCAGAAGATACACAAGCTTTAATCCATTTGATCCACTTGTTTCCAAACCCAAAGTTGGATAGCATGGAAAATAAGAAGGCCCAATTAACAGAATCAAACGCTTTTTCAAAGTTTAACTTGAGAATAAGGCCTTTACTTTTCGATTTCCTCCACCCATCAACAATCTCATTTGCAATCAGAACCCCATCAAGTATATTCCGGCCACCCATAAAAGCTGACTGAACCTCACCAATGATCCTAGGCATAACCAATTTCAATCTATTAGATAACACCTTGGCAAGAATTTTGTAGAGGGAGCCAATCAAACTAATAGGCCTATAATCATTCAGAGAAGAGGGGCTATCTGATTTTGGAATCAAGGCAATGAATGAGCTATTAATTCCTCCAACAAAACATGCATTGCGATGAAACTCACACAAGAAATTGACCACATCGGATTTCACAATGTTCCAACATTTCTTAAAGAACGCCAAATTAAAGCCGTCAGGCCCAGGGGCTTTATTACCCTCACAAGTCATGATAACATAGCTGATTTCCTCCTCAGTGAACTCACCCTCTAAGTGGGCTATAGCTTGTGCACCACCAATGTTCTTAAAAGAGCCAAATAATTTGGGTCTGGAGCCCCAAGGTTCAGAAAAAAACCTAGAGAAGTGATTAAAAACTGCAGCTCGAACCTCTCTAGGCTCCTCCATCCGAGAGCCATTCACAAGAAAAGAGCCCAAGGTGTTCCTACTATTTCTACTACAGGCCATGATGTGAAAGAACCTTGTATTTCTGTCCCCTTTCAGAGCCCAGTTTTGTCTAGATTTCTGCAGCCAAATCCACTCTAGCATTTTGTTCAATTTCCAAGCCTCGCCCCTAATTTCCTTTCTTCTGCACGATTCTGCGGAGAGTAGTGGCCTTACCTCCGTTAGCAGATCTAAAGCATGAGCTTCCTCCTCGAGACTTTTTAACCTAGATTCAACCCTCCCAAACACCTCCAGATTCCATTGTTTTAATACCTGTTTCAGAGCTTTGAGTTTCATAAGACATTTATATCCTGCCCACCCTACTACTTGCATTTCAGACCAGCTTTGCTTCACAAAAGGAATGAACTTAGGATGCAATAGCCAAGCATTGAGAAATCTAAATGGTCGCGGGCCCCAGTCTCTATCATCCTCCATCAAGATAATTGGGCAGTGGTCTGACAGTTGTCTAGGCAGCCCCCAGAGTTTGAGAGAAAAGTTTTGAATCCATTCATGATGAACTAGGAATCTGTCAATTCTACTCCAATTAGCCCTATCTTGAGAATTACACCAAGTAAATTTCCTCCCAAGCATGGGTATGTCCAATAGATCCATTTGCTCTATCATGGTGTTGAAATCCCTCATACCTTTATCTCTGTTGGAGCATCCTACCCTCTCAGATAAATTCCTAATTTGGCGTATCCTTCAGACTTAGTGAATCTATTGGGCTTTGTAAAAACTGAACATTATCAGCATCAGCCAGATTATGTTCAGTTTTTACAAAGCCCAGTAGATTCACTAAGTCTGAAGGATACACCTGCGGGATCATCATATAGTAGGCGAGTACTTGGAAAATTTAGCCTTATTATAATCAGTCCTCTTCACTTGCAACACAAGGTCAGAACCGTTAAAAAAACTTGTGGAAATGGCTAGCTTATTTTTATTTTTATTTTTATTTTCATTTCCATGTTTAATGTTTTATCAATGGACACTGGGGATGTGGAGTCCAAAATGCACTACAACAAATCTAGGCTATTGTGATGAAATTTGGTGAAAAAATTTATTTTCGTCTTAGAATGTAACCCAACCATGAAGAAATATTACTTTCGTCGTTTGTTTTAATTTTTCACCAAAATATAGGAGACGAAAAAATAAATTCGTTAGAAAAAAGGAGGCACCAATTTTTTTCTCGTTAGCGCCAATTATTTAAGCTCACTACAGACGGACATTTTTGTCATAAAATTAAATTTTTTTTTTTGCGAGCAAAGGAATTTGTCACTAATAAATTCCAAACTTAATGACATTTCCATCAACCCTACCAGAATCATGCCACCATATTGCTTGCACCGCCACAATAACCTGGCCTTTATCACACACCCCCTCGCTCCCACTACCTCACTACCTTTGTCCTTTGACTACCCATCCAAATCATCATTTTATGAGCTTAGGGGATGACTCGGTGGTTTGGTCGTTGCACACACCCAAGCTCATAGAAGGGTTTTAATCCCAACGACGACCTTCCCTGTTCCCCATCCCCACAATTGGTATCTATTTTCATTTTTCATGTTCTTGAAAACAAAAACAATGGAAAGTTTAGAAACACCCAGCATTTTGATATAGTTTATATTTTCTGCAAAAAGATGTTTTGAAAATTAAAAAAGTGTTATTTGGTAACCATTTTGTTTTCAGTTTATATTTATAAAAATTTTAAAAACTATCATAAAACTTGTTTGATTATTTTTTTTGGTTCATAAATGGTTGTCTCAGTTTGCAAATTTGAGGAAAAAACGTAAACTAAAAAAATGAGTTTGCGTTGGATTTTAAATAGAAATTTAAAAATGTGACTAACAATTTTTTTTTTCAAATATTTTTTTTTTCAAATATTTTTTTTTCCAATTAATTGTTTTTTCAGTTATTTTTTTCCAATTAATTTTTTTTAATTAATTTTTTTTCAATTATAATGTGTATGATCCCTTGTCATAAATAATAAAAAATAAATATAAATATTTTAGGCCTGAACAACCATATTTTTCAGTTTATGTTTTTTAAATTTTTCAAATATTTTGTTCAAACCAAACTCGTTTGTAGTTTATGTTTTTCTAAAAATAAAAAAAAATCAGTTTATAAAATATATGTAAACATAAACAAAAAACATAAACATTACCAAACGCTACCATGATGTTTTATTTTCTAGAAAAGACATTTTTTTTCCTTCTCAATAATAATTTCCAGAAGCGGTTTATCAAACAAGTTTATTTCTTCTATTATCTATGTCTGTATTTCTCCTCCATTGTGTTGCCACGACCTCCATCTGGTCACGTATAAGCATCTTGCCTCTTGATATGCAATTTTTGAGTCTAAGTTGTCTGTATCTCATGTTATGTATTCTTCGGTGCGTGAGGATTAGGGGAAAAGGAATTGGATTTTTTTGGGTGGCAAAATTGAGAAGCTCTAGAAAGTTTCTCAAAAAATGGTTTTTATTTTTGTTTGTTTGTTTGTTTGTTTGTTTTTTTTTAAAATTCTATGCAATCTTTCAATTGCTATAGGAATTTAGCGTTTCCAGCGACTTCGCCAGCCAACTCAAGTTTTGGTACGAAGGCTAATCTGGCTAATACTGATCATGTTCAGTTTTTACAAAGCCGAGTAGCTTCACCAAGTTTGAAGGATACACCTGCAGGATCATCATATAGTAGGTGATTACTTGGAAAATTCAGCCTTATTATAATCAGTCCTCTTTACTAGCAACACAAGGTTAGAATCATTAAAAAAAACTTGTGGAAATGGCTGGCTAATTTTTATTTTTATTTTCATTTCCTTGTTTAATGTTTTATCAATGGACATAGGGGATATGGAGTCCAAAATGCACTACAACAAATCTAGGCTATTGTGACGAAATTTGGTGAAAAAATTTATTTTTGTCTGAGAATGTAACCTAGACATGAAGAAATATTACTTTTGTCATTTGTTTTAATTTTTCTCAAAAGTATAGGAGATGAAAAAATAAATTCATCAGAAAAAATGAGGAATCGATTTTTTTCTCATTAGCGCCAATTATTTTAGCTCATTGGAGGGGGTCATTTTTGCCAAAAAATTTAAATTATTTTTGCAAGAAAAGGAATTCGTCACTAATAAATTCCAAACTTAATGACATTTCCATCAACCCTATCAGAATCATGTCACCATAATGCTTACCACCGCCACAATAACCTAGCCTTTATCACACACCCCCTCGCTCCAACTTCCTCACTACCTGTGTCCTTTGACTACCCATCAGAATCATCATTTATGTGCTTAGGGGATGGCTTGGTGGTTTGGTCGTTGTACACTCCCAAGCTCATAGCAGGGTTTTAATCGCTGCGACGACCTTCCTCGTTCCCCATCCTTGCAATTTTTATCTTTTTTTCATTTTTCATGTTCTTGAAAACAAAAATATTGGAAAGTTCAGAAACATCCAGCATTTTTATATAGTTTATAGTTTCTGCAAAAATATGTTTTGAAAATTAAAAAAGTGTTATGTGGTAACCATTTTGTTTTCAGTATATATTTACAAAAATTTTAAAAACTGTCATAAAAACTTGTTTGTTAATTTTTTTTTGGTTTATAAATGGTTGTCTCGGTTTGTAAATTTGAGGAAAACACGTAAACTCAAAAAAAGAGTTTAGTTGGATTTTAAACAGAAATTTAAAAATTTGACTAACAATTTTTTTTTTCAATTAATTGTTTTTCCAATTATTTTTTTTTCAAGTATTTTCTCTTTCAATTAATTTTTTTGATTATTTTTTTTTCCAATTATAATGTGTATGATCCCATTGTCATAAATAATAAAAAATAAATATAAATATTTTAGTCTAGAACAAACGTATTTTTTGGTTTATGTTTTTAAATTTTTTTTTAATATTTTGTTCAAACCAAACGCTTTTGTAGTTTATGTTTTTCTAAAAATAAACAAAAATCAATTTATAATTTTTTTTTAAACATAAACCAAAAACATAAATGTCACCAAATGCTACCATGATGTTTATTTTTGCAAAAAAGACTTTTTTTTTCTTCTCAAAAACAATTTTCAAAAGCGAAGTTTGTTGCTTCTATTATCTGTCTCTATTTCTTCTCCATTGTGTTGCCACTATCTCTATCTGGTCACGTATAAGCATTTTGCCTCCTGATAAGCAATTTCTGTGTCTAAGTTGTCTGTGTCTCATGCTATGTTTTCTTCGGGGCATGAGGATTAGGAGAAAAGGAATTGGATTTTTTTTTGGTGGCAAAATTGAGAAGCTCTAGAAAGTTTCTCATAAAAAGGTTTTTGTTTTTGTTTATTTATTTATTTTAATTCTATGTAATCTTTCGATTGCTACAGGAATTTAGCATTTCCAGCGACTTTGCCAACCAACTCAAGTTCTGGTACGAAGGCTAATCTGGCTGATGTTGATCATGTTCAGTTTTTACAAAGCCGAGTAGCTTCACCAAGTTTGAAGGATACACCTGTGGGATCATCATATAGTAGGTGAGTACTTGGAAAATTCAGTATTATTATAATCAGTCCTCTTTACTTGCAACACAAGGTTAGAATCGTTAAAAAAAACTTGTGGAAATGGCTGGCTTATTTTTATTTTTATTTTCATTTGCTTGTTTAATGTTTTATCAATGGACACTAGGGATATGGAGTCGAAAATGCACTACAACAAATCTAGGCTATTGTGACGAAATTTGGTGAAAAAATTTATTTTTGTCTAAGAATGTAACCTAGACATGAAGAAATATTACTTTTGTTATTTGTTTTAATTTTTCTCAAAACTATAGGTGACGAAAAAATAAATTCGTCAGAAAAAATGAGGCACCATTTTTTTTTCTCGTTAGCGCCAATTATTTTAACTCATTGGAGACAAACATTTTTGTCATAAAATTTAATTTTTTTTGCGAGAAAAGGAATTCGTTACTAATAAATTCCAAACTTAATGACATTTCCATCAACCCTATTTGAATCATGCCACCATAATGCTTGCCACCTCCTCAATAACCTAGCCTCTATCACACACCCCCTCGCTCCCATTGCCTCACTACCTGTATCCTTTGACTACCCATCAGAATCATCATTTTATGAGCTTATGAGATAACCTAGTGGTTTGATCCTTGTACGCTCCCAAGCTCATAGCAGGGTTTTAATCCCTGCGACGACCTTCCCTATTTCCCATCCCTGCAATTGGTATCTTTTTCGTCTTTCATGTTCTTGAAAACAAAAACAAATGGAAAGTTCGGAAACATCGAACATTTTGATATAGTTTATGTTTTCTTGTAATGTTTTATTTTCCAAAAAAGACTTTTTTTTCCCCTTCTCAAAAATAATTTTTAGAAGCGGGTTTTCAAACAAGTTTATTGCTTCTATTATCTGTGTCTCTATTTCTCCTCCATTGTGTTGCCACTACCTCCATCTGGTCACGTATAAGTATCTTGCCTCCATATATGCAATTTCTGTGTCTAAGTTGTCTCATGCTATGTATTCTTTGGGGCATGTGGATTAGGGTAAAAGGAATTGGAATTTTTGTGGTGGCAAAATTTTGAAGCTCTAGAAAGTTTCTCATAAAAAGGTTTTTTTTTTTTTTTTTTTTAATTCTATGTAATCTTTCAATTGCAATAGGAATTTAGCGGTTCCAGCGACATGGCCAGCAAACTCAAGTTCTGGTACAAAGGCCAATCTGGATGATGTTGATCATGTTCAATTTTTACAAAACCAAGTAGCTTCACAAAGTCACCCCTGCGGGATCTTATAGTAGGTAAGTACTTGGAAAATTCAGCCTTATTATAATCAGTCCTCTTTACTTGCAACACAAGGTTAGAACCATTAAAACACTTGTGGAAATGGCTGCCTTATTATTATTTTAATTTCCATTTCCTTGTTTAATGTTTTATCAATGGACACCGGGGATATGGAGTCCAAGATGCACTACAACAAACTAGGCTATTGTGCCGAACTAAACATAACTTTTAATTTTGTCATAAAAAATCAAAAGAAGTTGAATTTTTTTAGACTTAAATTTTAATTTAGTAAGAAAATTTTCTTACCACATAAAGAAGCCAAATATTTTGGTATCTTACAAAAATTGAGCACGCCTAAAATTGATGATTGGTGACAAATTATTTGTCTTAAAAATAATCTACCTGTATTACTCTTGAGAAGAAAAATAAAATGAAATGTTTTATTGAAAGAGATAGAAGAAATGACAAAGAGGGAAGAAGCCGGCCAGAAAGGGAATGGTGGAGAGAGATAAAAGGAACGAACTCACGGCGGAGAGACTCAGTGAAGAAGAAAACTCTCTCTGTTCAACCAGGTTTGGAACCTATTTGTTCTAGGGTTAAAATTTGGAGATTTGAAAAAAAAAAAAAAGTTTTTGATTTGGGGATTTCAATTGAAAAAATAGAGTTTTGATTGAGGACCTAAAAAATTAGTTTTAGGTTTTGATTGTATAAAAGAAATTATTTTGTTGAATCTAAAATTTTAGTGTGTTTGTTGAATTTAAAACATGTGATTGTATAAAAATTAATTTATTGAGATGTATAAATAATTAAACTAATTAATTTAAACAGTAGACTGTAGTTCATCGTAAAAATCTTATAGTTATCATGCCATTCATTTTGTGATTGTTTATGAAAATTGGTAGCCCAGATTATTTGTTTTTTTTTTTTTTTTGGGGGGGGGTTCGTTTGCCTTGTTTTCTAGACTTTCAATCCTTTGGTTGGTGAATCATTTAAACTTTTCAAGATCATTATTTGTTTATTCTCTCTTGCCAATTATCAGAACCACTTCTTGACTACTTGCAACTTTGCGTTGGTAATTTATTTAGGAAAACTGGTAGCCTAGATTTATAGTAAACTTTTTCTCAGGAATTGTCAAAGATGTCTATCTAGAAATAGTTTTGTTATTACTTCAACTCGTATACAACTCTGAGTTATTATTTGTTGAGTAAATTTTAGAGTTTGAGGGTTTTGTGACATTTCAGTTCTAGGGGAAAAAAAAAAAGGAAAAAAAAGAAGAAGCTAATGCTAATTCCCAAACCACCCTTTAATATTATTGGTTGAAATTGTAGATGATTTTTGCGGAGGTACGGATGATTTTATTTGTCATTGCTAGTTGTTTGGCGATTTTGCTTCTAGATAGAATAATATAGACTGATTTAGTGGTTCATGTGTTCTATTTTAATCTTTGTTGTAGTTAGTTCTCAATTTTAGTATATGTAGATTTGTGGAATGGTTTAAGTGCCCTTTGGGGTCTATTCTTCTTCAGATGGCCTACTGGAAGAAGGCAACAAATATAACGAAACAAAACGAATAGGATTGCATCTTTCTAGATTTTTTTTTCTTTTTTATCTTGTTATGGACTAATTTGTAGTGCAAGATTTCATATGGTTGGGGATGCACATTTCGTGGTGAAGTTTGCTCAATTAATAGGAAGTTCAATAGCTGTGTCATATCTCCCACTATACGACTGTTTAATAGGAGTTGAAAAGAAATTGAAATTGAGAGAGATTTGAAGCTAATTTAATAATTTTTATGAACACTCTACATGATTCAACACAAATAGATTAAGACATTTAAAAACAAATCTTGATATAAATTTTTATAGGAGCTGTTATAATGCTTCATAGTCTTAAGCTATTCAATATGGCCTATTTGATTGGTGAAAGTCTCTTTTTAAATATATATATTTATTTACATGTGATTCATTCTAGAGACATGTGATATTTTGTTGGACCTTCATTTAGTCCTATTCCCTTCATAATACATGTGAAAAATTAATCTATTATAAATTTATGAGGAAATAAAGTTAGATGTTTAACTACATACTAAAATACTAACACACCAATATTTATATACATCATTAAAATATGTTTTTTTGTGAGTTTTTAACTCTCTTTCTCTCTCTCTCTCTTTTTATTTTTTTTAAATTAGAGAACCATACACACAATATTCTCAATTATGTTTGATGTCACATATGAGTGTATTTCTTTCTAATGGATTGGGAATGCTATTTGATATATTGACTCAAAATTTCTAATAAATCAATATATGTGGGAGTTTGGCAGCCTCAACTCTATTTTAGTGTCCTAGCAAAGATGCCTATTCCCCTCTTAGTTTCCGATTACTTATTAAATTATATATGTATACATTGCAGCTCTGTTTTCTTTTTCTATTTTTTTATTTTTTAACAAACCCCTATCACATGGTGCTCTCATCAGTTTCATAAATCTATAGTATATCATAATTGGATTGGATAGTGAATAGTTTTGGATTTATCTTTTAGAATACAAATCTTTTCAATTTTGTTTAAGGAACTAGTGAATTTATGAATTTGGGAGGTACTCAGGTTGATTGTTTCATAAGAGTCTAAAGAACATCTAGATTCTTGTAGTTCACTAAGCTTGCTAATAATGTTTAGGAAGACATCTTATTTGCTTTGCTTTAGTCTTTCTTCTTCTTCTTCTTTGGGGCATACGTCTAATGTGCATTTTGGGATGCAGGTTCCATCTAACATTGGTTCTTATTGCAACAATATGCTGCTGGATAATGTAAGTTTGACTTTTAGCTGAACTTTCTTCTTTTAGCAACAAAATCAAAACACGAACTATTACATCAAACAATTTTTTTTTTTTTTAAAAAAAAGTCCAAACATGAGTGTCAAGTTTAAAACAATAAATTCGTGTTTCATGTAGCTAATTATGGAGGATTGCAGTACATATGCATTTAGGCTCCGATTGCGTGAGACATCATAATCTTAGAGCTTGAAATTAATGTGATGCACATAGTAGAGCCACAGGGGTTGACGATTACAAGCTTACAATTTGTAATTCTATTTAGGAAATTTAACTAAGATTTTGAACCACAAAAGAAAAGGAAACCTCCACATCATTGAGGCATAAAGACTCAAGATCAATAACCTTTTCATTATGGAATCCTATTTATTTTATGATGAATGCATACGTATCAACACAGTTACTAGAATCAGAAAATACTTAGTATAGCTCATTTTCATCAGAGTGCATTAGAAAATCAAAATTCATAATTCATAAATATCTCAAAACTTTACAATTTGCATATCCAAGAAGTGTTCCACAGGTATCAGTTGAGCTAAAAAGTATAATCTGCAGAATAAAGAGATTATTGTATAAAAAGTTTCATAACAAAGAGATCAATTTCTTAGCTAGATAATTGATTATGTTATGGGGGAATTCATCCCTAGGTGGACATATTTCTTGGTAAAGTATGTTAATTTTAATATAATAGTTTTTATAAAAGAATATATGTTTGAAGAATTAGGTGAAAACTTAGATAGAACTAAGTATTGTATTATTTTATTGAATCAAAAAAGAAATTACAAGAGAAATATATATAAGTCAACTATGCTAACCCTAATGGCTAACAATGACTAAACTACCCTTAATAATAAAATACACATATGCTTAACATCCCCCCGCAAACTCATGATATGACAGTAGAAAGCATCGAGAGTTTGTCAAGAAGAAAACAGAAGTGCAAGATAGTATGAGACTTAGTGAAGAAATCAGCAATTTACATAGTAGAGGAGACAAATGGCAAGGACAATGTGCGAAGCTGCAAGTGATGGCGCACAAAGTGGCAACCACTCTCAATATGTTTAGTCCACTCATGAAAAATAAAATTATGAACAATCTGAATGGCGCTGGTATTGTCACAATACATAGGATTAGGAGTAGAGATGGAGACACCGAAGTCGGAAAGCAACCAGCGCAATCAAACAATTTTAGCAGTGGTAGTAGCCATAACACGATCCTTAGCCCTAGTAGAATGACGAACAACAATAGTTTGCTTTTTGCTCTTCTAAGAAATAAGAGAACTTTCTAGAAAAGCACAAAAACCCGTAGTAGACTTACGGTCCATAACATCACCAGCCCAATCAGCATCAGAAAAGGCATGAAGATCCAAAGAAGAAGTAGCAGAAAAGAATAAACTCTGATGCAATGACCCACGGAGATAACGAAAAATACGAAGAAAAGTAGCCCAATGAACAGTAGCCGGGGTAGAAACAAACTGATTGACAATATGGACAACATATGCAATGTCGGGCCGAGTAACGGTAAGATAGACAAGGCTGCCCACTAGAACTCGATATAAGGTAGGATTAGGCAAAGGGGCACCATTAGTGGAAGTATAGTGCACATTAAATTTGAGAGGAGTGTCAATAGTGTGGGAGTCAGTCAACTTGGTCTGCTGAATAACATCAGTTGCATACTTGGACTGAGACGGAAGATAACCGCTAGGGCAAGATAACCGCTAGGTGAAGAAGCCACCTCAATGCCCAAAAAATAACGAAGCGAACCAAGATCTTTCATCTCAAAATGATGATGCAAGTAAGCTTGGAGAGCAGAGATACCATCCAGATCATTGCTAGTGATCACCATGTCATCTACATATAATAAAAGAATAATTAGCCCCGCAGAAGTGGAGCGAAGAAAAAGAGTCGAATCATGATCACTAGTATGAAAACTCAAGTCACAAACCACAGTAGAAAATTTCTCAAACCAAGCTCGAGGAGCTTGTTTAAGACCATATAAATCTTTGCGAAGGCGGCAAACTCCATCAGGAGAATGAAGAAGCCCAGGAGGAAAGACCATAAAGACTTCCCCAGCTAAGTCACCATTGAGAAAGGCATTATTGACATCAAATAGAGAGATGCCAATGACGCACAACAACAACGGCAAGCAAGGTACGAATAGTGGTTATCTTGGCAATAGGAGCAAAGGTCTCATTATAATTAAGACTATATTCTTGAGCAAATCCTTTAGCCACCAATCGGGCTTTATAGCGTTCCACAGAACCATTGGCTTTGGTTTTAATCTTATACATCCACCGACAACCAACAGTATGTTTACCAAAAGGTAAAGCAACAAGATTCCAAGTACCAATCTTATATAAAGCAGAAAGTTCCTCATTCATAGCCCGTTGCCAAAGAGGGTCATAAACATCCTCCTTATAGAAGGTAGGCTCAGAAAGAGAGTGAATAGAGGATAAAAAAATACAAAATTCAGAAGAGTAACAAGAGTTAGAATACCCATAATGATTGGGACATGTACGTACCCATTGAGGATATCGAGAAACAGAAGCCTCATTAGCAGCAGGTAATGGGACATGTACGTACCTGTTGAGGATATCAAGAAACAGGAGCCTCATTAGCAGCAGGTAATGGAGACACAGCCTATCATGACCTAAATCTGCCCCTATAGGTTTAGCATCGTAAACGGCCAGTAATCATGAGATTATCAAAGGCCTCTAACCTGAAAATCATATAAATAGAGGGGCTGCAGAAGCAAATACAAACATACAACGTCTATAGAGCTGTGTTGACATACATGAGATAGATAATTTAAAACTTTATACATATATACATGACGTTAAATGTTCATGAGTCATGTAGCACCGAACAAATATTGTCAAAAGAGACCAAGCCCAATGTATAGATAAACAAAACCAAAACCAAACAAAGCGTTGTCATGTGCTTGCTCACCTACATACATAATATAAACAGTGAGTGAAAGCCTAGTGATTAATAACAGAGTAAAGGGTCTAATGAATGATGTCCCATAGCAGATTCAGAAAGCAGATACAGATTCATATTCTTATTTAGAGTTCAGAAGCATGTAATTATTCAATTTCACACAGAGGATCATAAGTGGTACACCCATTAGCGCTAACAGATCAGATACAGAGCATTAAGGATCATACTTGACCAGTTTCATAAAGGAACCTCCGGTACCGTGAGACCACGATATTATTACCTCCGGGCAAGGGCCTTGGCCTTATAGACCATGGTATTGTTACCTCCGGGCTACGGCCTTGTGCTAAGGATGCCACGAGTACTTGTTAGAAATTGGACAATCATTCATTGTACAAAATATAACAGTTCATAAAATAGATCTTACTTCATCATACAAAAAATAAATAAAGTTGAATATAGCTTTACTAAGTTATTACTTACAGAGCGCTCCACTTGCATAATAGATTAAGAAGATACACCAGACCGTCTATGGTGCGTGGCCTATACAAACATAGAACGGATACATATTGAATTACACACCCGAAATCATTAACTTAGTTCTTTCTTATCTTGGTGTGTTTCTAACCTTTATCCTCATTATTATGCTTTAATTATGGCCTAGAGATGCCTAGGATGCAATGAGTATGCCAAAACATATTGTTCAACACTTAGTCAAATTTGCTGAAAATAGGGTCCTTTCTCGATCGCAGCTTCCTTCACTCGAGCAGAGGTTCAAACATAAGGGTGGTCGCTCGAGTGTAACTTCGGTCGCTCGAGCGGTCTGTAAAACTTTGCAAAAGTACTGGTTGTGTGAATTTTTCGCTCGACGGTTGCTTGAGCGTGAGACTGAGGTCTTCGCTCGAGCGCCACTCTGGTCGCTCCAGCGGTCTGCAAAACTTGTAAACTTCTGAGAGCATGCATTTTACGCTCGAGCCAACTTTTGGTCACTCAAGCGGAAGTGTAAAACAAAGAGTGGTCGCTTGAGCAGAGAAGCAGAATTCTAGAATTTCTAGATTTGTTTCCAAGCTTCAAAACTCGAATTTAACCTAACAAATCATGTTCTTTTGGGCCAAAAGCTTAACGAAACATGTGTAAACTTGGAAAAAATTGGGAATTCAAAATCATTTTGCAAAATGAAAGCCTAAAAGCATGCCAGTTGTTCAAAATCAAACTTGAAACTTTGAAACCACAACATGCATGTAAAGGTATGAACTCCAACCTTCTAAAACGTGATCAAATTAGGTGAATTGATGGAAAACATGAGGAAATCTTATAATTAAGTTGAAAACATGACATGCATTGAGGAATTTCTGGAAATCAGCTTTAAAAATACCATAAAATGCACATGTAAGCTCTTATCTTCTTCTTTCGTACTACCTTAGTTCATTTCATGTACTAATCTTTCATTTTCTCTTCTTCTTTCGTACTACCTTAGTTCATTTCATGTACTAATCTTTCATTTTCTTTGAATTCACGAATTGAACGTGTTAAGTACATAATTTAAGGGTTGAATTTCTTACCTACAAACCTCAATTCTTTGAATTCTAGAGTGATTCTTCCCAATGTCTCAAATTCTAGCTAAGTTTAAGCCAATACCCTAGCAATCTCCCTAGTTGAGCTTGGTTCCTTCCTCTCTCTCTCTCTCTCTCTCTCTCTCTCTCTCTCAAGATGAAAAAATTAGAGTGTTGTATTCAAGAAACCTTATATAGGCTCATTAGTGGAGTTTAATTAAGCTAGGCTTAAGTTAACTAGTTTTTGGATTATTTAATTTTAATTATTTGGTTCTGAATTGAATTTCGATTAAACCTACTATAAGATTCTAAAAACTCCAAATATCACATACCCTAAGTCAATTTCGTGATCGGATGCCGATAAGGCCTTCAATTCACAGAGCAAAGCAGAAACACAAACAGATATTTCTACGATAAACAGATAAAAACATAATTAATGCAACACACATGCAATTAATTAAGAATTTCATTTTAATTACTTATTATG